GGAAAATGTTGTTTGTGCTGTATTTAGACCCCTTTACAAAGAAATTTGTTTTGCATGTACACGTATAAAAATTGCGGTTTTTATCCAACGCAATCATAGGTTTGAACGTTGTTTTCAATTTAGACTTGTTAATATTTTTTCGTTTGGGCTTGTATTGTATTTGCCTTCGGGTTTATATGATCCGTTCATCCTATTTCGACTCTTCAAAATTCAAGAGTCAATCCCAAATTGAGGTAAATTATATGGCCTTCCAAATACCGTTTCGATTCCTAACATCACTGAAGAGACATTAATTGTCGAAATCCGGATATGGTGTACAAATTTTTGCACCTCATGTTTGCGGTATACCATCTTTTTCGCAAGTTTATTGTTTTCTGTTTGGTATTAAATTAATATAATTAAGATCCATTGTGTTACATCTGTGATCCGTTGATTTGGCAATCGCCATGGCAGTCAGCAGGGTTTAAGAACATCCGTTGTTCGACCTGCTAGTCAAATGCGTTTTGTTAAAATATACTTTTCACTTTTTTGGTCTTTTGGAAAATGTTGTTTGTGCTGTATTTAGACCCCTTTACAAAGAAATTTGTTTTGCATGTACACGTATAAAAATTGCGGTTTTTATCCAACGCAATCATAGGTTTGAACGTTGTTTTCAATTTAGACTTGTATATATATATATAATTGAAAACAACGTTCAAACCTATGATTGCGTTGGATAAAAACCGTAATTTTATACCTGTGCATGCAAAACAAATTTCTAGGTAGAGGGGTCTAAACAAACACAGCACAAACAACATTTCTGAAAGACCAAATGAGTGAAAAAGTATATTTTAACAAAACGCATTTGACAAGCAGGTCGAACAACTGATGTTCTTAAACCCTGCTGAAAGCCATTGGCGATTGCTAAATAAACGGATCACAAGATGTAACAAAATAGATATTATTATTAATTTATTACCAAACAGAAAACAATAAACTTTCGGAATAGATGGTATACCGCAAACATGAGGTGCAAAAATTTGTACACCATATCCGGATTTCGACAATTAATGTCTCTTCAGTGATGTTAGGAATCGAAACGGTATTTGGAAGGCCATATTAATTACCTCAATTTAGGAAAGACTCTTGAATTTTGAAAGAGTCAAAATAGGATGAACGGATCATATAAACCCGAAGGAAAATATAATACAAGCCCAAACGAAAAAATATAAACAAGTCTAAATTGAAAACCGCAATTTTTATACGTGTGCATGTAAAATAAATTTCTTTGTAGAGGGGTCAAAATACAGCACAAACAACATTTTCCAAAAGACCAAAAAAGTGAAAAGTATATTTTAACAAATCGCATTTGACTAACAGGTCGAACAACTGATGTTCTTTAACCCTGCTGACCTGCCATTGACGATTGCCAAATAAATTGATAACGAGATATATAACTGTAGCAGATAGACATTTAAAACATAACTTGTCGATATCGACAGCTTAACCAGAAGAAACGTATAAAATGTGACTGAAAACAAAGAATCGATATCGACGGCTGATGTTGTTTTTGTTGCAAGAAATATAATAAAAGGTGCATATTGATATCGAGTCTTGGACATACCCCTCAAGATGATCCCATCTCTGAGCGTTTTTTTTTTCAGTCAGCCGGTTGTAAATCTCGGGTAACACGGTTTGTTTGTAAATGCGAGGATGTTTGTGTCTGTCTGACTATTATGACATTAAAGTCTCACCTCAGCTGACATAGTCTCGACGTTGTTAATTAACACATTAAATGTCATCTTTTAAACTTCTCCCTGAAGTCCCAATTCAGCAGCAATATCAGCTTTTATATATGTTTTTATGCTTGTGTCATCTTGTAATGTATTAACGTTTACGGTACGGTACGGTTTCAATTTTTCAATATGACGGACATTGTTCTCAGTTTTAGGAATTTTGATTTGTGGTCTCGACCGATCATTGTGCGATCTTATAACCCCACCCCATCTTTCCCCGACCCCCTTCTTCGTGGTGGCGGTTATATCTTCTTTCTTATCAGTAGCATACGTGTGTACGTGTGCCAGAATTTAATGAAGCTTATATCATTGGTTTATATCAGCAATGTCTTTGACACTTTCGAAAATAAGTGCTGAACAAATATTTTTAACGAGTTATGCTCCTTGGAAAAAATAATTTTAACGGAAATCGCATTGCATTTGCTCTGAAACCTTCGTTTGTTAAAGATATTTATAAATGGTTTTAAAGAACAACACAAAAAGTACTTTTTTTCGTTATTGCCCTTTGAAAGATAAAATATGTGCAACGCGGTGGACATTGCAACTCCGTTCTTTTATAATTTTTGATGTCTTCTTAAGAAATTATGAATCATGTAGGTAAATCTACAAATCAAACAGTAGAAGTGTAAAATAAATGCCCATTGGATTTTCGACTATTGATTGATATACAAATCTACCTAATCCTAAATTAAACAATGTTATTGCTGAAAAAAAGTCCAGCATTTTGATGATATCGTCTTCGATGTATTTATTGATGAGGTCAGTGTAAAAGTAAGATTTTGTGTGACATATAACAAGAAATGTGTATCAACGATACGAACGTTCTCAAAACCTCTGGAAAGAATCGAACTCGTGTCATTATAACTAAACACTTCAACGTCTTCGATATATCTTCTTCAGACCAATTGCGCGTGACAATTTTACTTTCGTTTTATAACAGGCAAATTTTCAAGAGATTGTCAGTAAAACAACCATCTAAACAAAATGTGTTTGATGACTACGATAATTGGTATCCGTGTATAAGGAAGAAGAACTTAACATGAATTATATGATTTAAATCAGGCTTAGTGGAATGGGGTTCAAAATGAGTAATCTGATTAGAGTATAAAATTATAAATTCCTTATATGATACATGTATAAAACACAAGAAACAAAGACCATCTCCCTTTGTATAATAATGATAAAACACAATAATCCCTGTCACCACTTTTATACCTTAATCAAAACACAATGAGAAGAAGTTATTCACTTTGTCTAGGATAATAACAAAACTTAAAGTAAAATGGGATGAGTTTTAGAAAAGGACAAAAAGTCATTCCCTATTGTATAGAATTTGTTTCTCAAATTAAGACAACCGAGGATAACCGTGAGTCATTTGTCTTAACACATGTACTTATTACAGAAAATGAAAGATGTCCTATAGTGATTGTGTTTTAACAATCCTAGACAAAAGAGGAAAGATATCAGGTCATTGTCTTTTACAATAGTATACAGCTTGAAGCGACCGATACGACCCCAGTTCGTTGCGTTATACGCATTCAATTCAACACGTGGAAGTGACCTGAAGTCATTTTGTTATACTGTGGTTTTATTAATTTTCATGGATACCAATTTTCGTGGATTGAGGAAAACTTGCATTTTCATTGATATTTGATTTCGTGGTTTTGCCAAATATGCATACATTCCTTTAGAAATTTTGTGATTTCTTGGACATTGGAATTCGTGGTTCCCGGGTAACCACGAAATCCACGAAAATTGGTATCCAACGAATAATAATGAATCCACAGTACTAGTCCTGTGCATGGTACACAAAAATGAAAACGTCTGTTCGGCGTGTTTTATAATGGTTTACAAGGAGAGATGACCTGGTATCATTGTTTTCAGCACTTATAGGCAAAAGATATATGTACTTATAGGCGCTCTTGTGTAGTTGTCCAGTAGCGGATCTAGGGGTCGGGGTTATTTGACTTGTCAATAGATTTTACTTGGCTGCCAGATTTAAAAGTACTCTATATCTACTATCGTAAAAAAATCTAAATTTGGAAACAAACATTATTGAAGGGTAGTTAGTGCTAAAAAAAGTCGATGAATGATCGCCATGTTGACCTTTTTCTTAATCTTGCCGTATACTGATAGTTTTTTATGTTAACATTTTCCTGTGTATATTCAAGTTTTCAAGTTGGAGTAAAAAGAAAAGCAAATAATTTGTTAATATCGTCTTGTAAGAAGAACGACTCATATCAGGCTACTATTTCAACAATGTCTTCTTATTTGGAGACGTCGTCATTTAGGGGTAATACTTTCTACAGGAATGGAACGACAGAATTGGACAGTATGTTAATTTTGACGTCTTGAACTTTTTTGCGTCGGCAGATTTTCCTATCAGGTTTGAAGATATTAGACAATTACTTCCACTTGACCAGTATTTTCTTTCCTTTGCCATGGCGGGAACGTTGTTTAGCAGGCACGACCATCGAACATATTCTTTTAAGATGTTATAAGGCTGATCGTCGCAAAGTCCATTGTAAAATGCATATGGCAAGGTAGTTTCAGAAGAGAAGATTTTTTAAAAAAGGGAATAAACAAGATACACCAAGTAATGAAAATAAATTCATTGGAAATTCTGACAGGGCGAACAAAAACTAAATTACAGCACAAGTGAAAGAAAGATGGTTATTGAGGTAAAAAAATACAGACAAATGTATCAAAACAGGTTTATAAGAAATAATATTAGGTATAAGACGAGGGAAAATGACATTATTGCTCGTCTGTTAACGTTTTAAAAATGTCTTCTGTGAATAAACAATATCGAAAGAACTATTTAATGCTATTATCATCCAAATGGTTGATTTTTATCTATTATTTTTACTGTTTACATCCATAACAATGGTTATTGTTAACAGTATACAATAGTGGATAAATCAATGCAAAATTCGCAAACATTTTGTATTGCAGAACCAATTAATGATCTGACTGGTTTTCTACGATAAAAATGTACTGTTTAGGTTTACAAATTAAAATCAAAAATTGATTGATTCTATTGCAATTGTAAATGAGATATGTACGGTATGTATCTTCTTGAGCTAAATTATCATTTTGTGACAACGAAATTATGTTCATTGGGTTAGGTAAAAATCTTAGTCACTAATGAACGATACCTGGGTAGTTTCATATATTTATTTTGTTTATTTCTGTTAATATGATCAACTACAATTATTTCAGGTGTGTTCAAAATGATGGATTCTGTAGAATACGAACTGATTTCAGACACAGAAAGTGTAGATGATGACCAACAACAAATTTGCACAACCAGCTACGATTTAGAATCTAACGGTACACATTCAAATCCAATAATATACATGTTTTGTCAAATTATCATTGTACAAACACATACTTTTTTTTTTCTAAAGTTTAGGTACATACTTTTCCTCTCATCCATCTTGCATTTTCGGAATGGTTAACTATATTTTATGTGAGATAAACAAATATATGAATGATGTGGAAAGTGAATGTAATACGGTCAGGATGAATTTGGATTTAGATTTTAAAAAACCTATCGTTTTGACTTGTAACCTAAACGATTTTTTTTGATTTTTTTTTTTGGTTCAGAGGAAAGTGTGTCGTTGTTATCTTACTTGCACAGATATATGTGTGCTCTTCCTTACGCTATCAACATTTCTAGAACGTTTTCATTCTTTTTTATGCATATAGATGTAAAAACGATTATCCAAACACAAGATAATGAAACGGCATCAGAAAAAGAAAATCCAAATTTAGAACAGTTGCCTAAAAGAACCATAGGTAACTTGCATTGTATTTAAAAAAATACTTTATACATTTACCATGACTTTTTATTAGTGTTTGAATGTTGTTTTTGCATCTATGTTTTAAATGTTTTGTCTAAAATATCAAATGTACAAGGGACAATAGTAGTTCATTGATGTTCAAAGCTCGTACATCCATTTGAATACACAATCCAAGAAAGTATTTAAAAGAATCCCATGTCATGAACTCCAAAACGAAGCGAGACTTGGTGTGTTAACAGGTGGTCGTATCCTGCGATGCATTCATCATCAGGGCACTCAAAAGCATACGAGTTTAATAAAATGTAATTCACAAATAATGTCTGAGTTTTAATTCTAAACTTTTTGTTTATTTTCTTTTACTTAATATTATATTCATCTATTCTGGCTTAAGTTAAAGTTAAAGTCTTAGTTATGTTTATTCATATATGAAGTTATCCCTCTTTTCATTTTTTACTATTAACTAACATAATCGTAATCGAATAAGAAATGTGTAACATTTATTTTCATATTATATGCGTTCAAATGAGAACCAAGTGATTGATTTCGCGACTTTTGGTTTTATTATCATGCATGTAACGACCGTCATATAGGGGAGTCATTAAAAGATGCTAGCAATATCCTAAAACTGCATATCAGTAAAAGATGCACCTATTATAGCAGGCATATAAAAATATACGGTTTACTTTTTTTTAAAAGCATAACAGTAACGATCGTTCTGAAAACATTACACGGCTTAATTGAATACAAATAAGTAATATGTAAAGGTAATCCAACAATGGTCCTTAATTGATTTAACAATGATTGATCAAAGGGGACACTTTAAAAACGTTTTATTATATGAGAACCTGCTTCCAAATGTAAACAATGTTTTCTGATATTTTTGGTGACAGTCTTTTACACATGTTTTAAGAGAATGGCGAAATTGAAAATGGTTTTTGATTTCATCTCAACATGCTTTTCGGATCAATGAATACTAAACATCGATGTACATTATATTTATTATACCATTCTAATCTAAATATAAAAACACTGATGTTAAACATTTTCGTGTATTTTAGGTAGAAAGAAATCACGGAATCCGTATAAGTGCAACAAATGCAAATTTTCCAGCAACGAAGAAGCAAAATTGCTTAAACATGAAATTAACCATTCCAAAGAATACCCATTTAGATGTACAATGTGCGAAAAGCGCTTTAGAATTAGGTCTAATTGCGATAGGCACATCAGGTAAATAACAAAATATTATTTCGATTTATTCTTTGAAGACATTGGAATCGAATAGAGAATTTAATAAATGGCAAAACTGAGTAAAAATAGACGATATTAATAACATTTACCGTTTATGTTGAATTGAAAATCAAAGTTGTGGAAACTTATTAGAAGACCACTTACCTTTTATCTCTTAATATTCAATGGAAAGCATGTCACAATTTTACGAATAGAAAGGCACATGGAAACTTTAATATTTTAAAAGTAAAATCTACGTCGGGGAAATTTTTTCAATCTACGGTAATCACAACTTTTACTGTTATGAAATGACTTTTTTTCTATACTTGTTCGTCTTTTCCCTTTTTTTAATCTATCACGGTAGTGTCTGCAGCACATTTTTAATAGCTTTCGTTTTATTTCTTCATATTGTAAGTATATGTTTTCTTACACGCACTTACTCGTGGTGCAAACAGAATGTCCTTAACATATCTTTGTGTAATCCCATAAGCTTTATCCGCTTTCAAAAAGAAAACATCATTAAACCAATTGCAGAATAAAATGTATTCGGTAAACCATTCACTGATTGCATTCGATTGTAATATTTCTCCAGACCAAATGTTTAATTGTTGAGTCTATATATATCTATAGATATATCAAAATTATATAAATTTACACCAAATAATGTATACACAATCATGGAAACTTGAAGGTCTCAATTTTATAAAATTTATCAAGAGTGTGTGTAAATATGTAGTATGAATACTGTAACATGTGTTTTAAACACCTTAAGCTTTTCAACGCAGCATTCGTATATATAGAATGCATTTGACTAAATTTCTACCAGTATATTAACAAAGTGTAATAATAAATGCGAGCTAAATTATAGATTAAAGACGTTTGTTTTAGTTCAAGTTATGTTAACAACAAAACATGGTTCTGTAAATACATGTTGTTCTTTTCTTTGTTAAATAAAAATAAAACATTTCTCAACATAAAACATTTTTATTATGTTACAGCTCACACAAAGGAGAGCGGAATCATACATGTCCAGTTTGCAAAAAATCCTTTACAACGAAAGCGAACTGTCAAAGACATATGTAAGTATACAATTCCGACACACATTCCTGGTTTTAAGGAAATCTGATCACTAAATATGCCCGATACCCGTTTAGTCTACAAAAGACTCATCAGTCGCGGTCGAATCAAAACAGTTAAAAGGCAAACAGTTTTTTTAACAGTAAAACAGTAAGGAAATAAATTGCAGTTCTAGTACAAAAATTTGACACTTACTTGTTAATGATTGTTAGTTATTGAGATGGCCTGTTTATACGCATTACCACATAACCAAAATACTGCAAAAGTAATTAAAATTAGGGAATAAACAATTTTAAAAAACTGATGTGGCTAATTAAATTTGTGAAAATTGAAGCCGCGTGTATCTTTTTCTTGGAAAACAACGAAATTAATTTTTATATTAGGTGTATTTCAGGCTTGGGGTAATTGTAATTGTAATCAGTAATCAGCTTTAATCGATTATAATTTTTAAAGTAATAATTGGAATCATTTATTTGCCTGTACCAAGTCAGGAATATGACAGTTGTTGTCCATTCGTTTGATGTGTTTTATCATTTGATTTTGCCATTTGATTAGGGACTTTCCGTTTTGAATTTTCCTCGGAGTTCAGTATTTTTGTGATTTTACTTTTATAAGCCAAAAATCTGATTACATGTAATTTGATTTAATCAATTATTTTTCAAAACACAGTGTTATCCAGATTACTTTTTGATTACATTCTGATAACAATGAGAAAAAATCTCCAATTGTGTTTATGGTCAATATATCATGTCGTAAATGAACATTTTTATTATCTATATTTGATAAATATATAATTTGTTAAAATAGTTTTGTTTACTTTAAGAATGTTAAGATATTATGAAATATTGATATACATGTAATTTGATACCAGCAAAATGTTAATTTGAAGATATTTTTTAAAACTTGTTTTGTGAGGACACCATTACATGTTGAAAGGTAGAAATGACTTTTGTAGTAAGTAAAACTCACTGGCATAGAAATTTAATTTCTCTCATTCGAAAAACCCTTGCTTTTTGGCGAAAATATGCTCAAGATTGGCCATATGCAGAGTGTTTTCATATCAACATTTTTAGCTATAAATGTGTACAGTGAATTAGTTGATATTGTACATTGTGAAAAGGGGATTAGATATGTAAAGTTTGAAGTTATTATACAATAACATATCAAATGAAATCCTCTCTCATAAAGTGCTACAGTTATAACCTTTATTCATTAACATCATTAAAATAGGTTATTTTGAAATTCATTGTAATCAGATATAATCATGATTACTTGCCAATTTAATCATTAATTTAATAAGTTACTTGGAGAAATGGTGTAATCATAAATTTAATTTAATCGTACAATTAACAGAGTAATTGTAATTTAATCAATTACATTGAAAGTAATCGGACTCATCTCTGGTGTATTTATCATTATTTTCCTGATGACTTATTTCAAATTAAATAATGTCAGACTTTTGTTATTTGACTTTTTTGGACGAATATTCCAATATTGTCACAGCGATAATACCTCTGCAAACTGTGGATTAATTTTAAGCATGCATGTTTTTAAAATATTTTCTATGAAATAAGTGATGAAAAACGATTTCAGAATTGTTTTACTGGTTTTAACTTTTAATGCATTTGTTCCTTGATATAATATTTTTAGGGAAAATCATAAAGAAGCTGCTGGACCAGGAAATGGCTATTGTCATTCTGCAGCACATTCTAATCTTATAGAGGGTAAGAACTGTTTTGTTTCAAACAATTCAATTCCAAACTGATATTTCAAAACACTTGTGATAGTATGAATTAGACTAATTGAAAAGATAACGACCCTTCGTCTTAATAGAAAACATTGTTACAAATAAATTATCAAAAGTAGGGCAAACACAAAACATTAATACAGTAAACAAATATTGAGAAGAACGAACCAAACATGAATCTGGTAAGAAAAAAAGTATAACAAGAATACCGAACTTCAAGGCATATTCAAAAAGGAGAAGTCCATAAAAACTGACAAAATTAAACGATATCAATCAACGGAACAACTGAATAACAACAGCAATATTCCTGACTTGGAACAGGCATTTTCCGAAGAAAATTGTGTGTTAAAGCTGGTTTTATAACAAGCTAAACCTCCTACTTGTATGCCAGTTGTTTATAGATCCGCTATATAGACAAAACTGGTTGAGCATCCAAAACAGACATAATAGGTTAATGTGACAATCATTGGGATCCAGCAGCCAAAAATGTGTCAACATACGTCACTGACATTCAACACAACTGACTAAAAATTCAAACAAACATACAAATAAATCTAAGACGCCAACAAAAAAGGTCTAGATAGTGAATTTGACAATGACGCCAACAACAAAATTTTGTCGTTGATAGTACATACCGTATATAGTATTCACTTTCTTGATAAAGTAAACATTAAGTAAATATAAATACAAATCCAAGAGTTAAAATAAAAAGAACACTGTAAAAACCCTTTGTGTCCGAATCGCACCTTAGGACCGACCTGAACCAGGAATACACAATGTCAAAAAGTCAAAAACCCGGTGGCGGGTTGTATAAATACCGAGTCACGTCAAGAGTCATACGACCAAAAGAAATATAATAGCACGAAGACAAATAAAGGGTAACTTAACTAACATAAAAAGATACATAACTTAAGCACCTAGAATCTTTAACTCAAAAGCATCTTCTATTATATGTGAAAAACTGAAAATTGAGAACTCAATTCCAATTGTGTTAACATAAAACAGATTTGTTAATGCTTACCATATCTTTATAATTCAGAGAAAGATGGAATAAAAATTAAAGATGAACATGGTGCACCACCTAAAGTCATCAAAACTAAAAAGATTGATAGAGAGTGTATGATAGACATTGCTGCATTAGAAGAAGACAATAAAAAGGAAAACACTTATGAGTCGAGAAATTTTAATTCTAAACGTACATTGGATGGTAGTAATTCAGATAATAAAGTCCAAAGGAAAAGACACAAACTTTTTTTGGATAAAGAAAAGAAACTTTTGACAATAACTGATTGTTTATATTCAGATAAAGATGCAAACATTAATTCTACCAAACTTGTCTCGGATAAAGATTACACAAACAAAAGTTCATTAAAAAATATTATATCAAATGACAATGAAACTGAAATTGATTTGCCTGCATTGGCAAGTCCAAGAAAAAGATTTCAAAAGAGTTCAAGAAAACTTTTAACACAAAGTGAGAACAATATACTTCCAGGTTCAAAGAAGAACAACGGAAATAGAAATAAAGAACATGGTGGTGACAATTTCGGATCTTGTTCTGCGACAATTGATATGCTTAGTAAAGGCCCCTTAGATCTGGAAAATGGGATGGATGTACCACGACTAGACGATTTTGAATTCAATTTGAACAATGCAAAAGAATTTACTTCTAAAAACAGTGCATTCGAAATTGTGGTTGACAAGGAAGGTAAACGTAATAAAAACTATCAAAGTGTGTCCAAACGAAATACATCAGGAGATGCACTTGACGGCAACCAACTCGATAAAACTCCAGGCATCTCTAAGTACTTCTACGGAAATGATGCACAAGCCGAAGGTGGGAATTTTGATGCAAATGAATTTTCTATAAGCAACGACCTAATTTTAACATCATCTGTACAACATTTTAATGGCAGTAACTCTTCAGAAAAACAAAAAGCAGAACAAAAGCAAACACCTGAATATAGTTCGATTTCAGTAGATAATTCTGATATGAAAATATTAAGTGATTCTTTTCCAGTTCCTTCAAAATTTAACAAACCTGATATTATCTACACTAGGATTTTATCTACGACACAAACAGAAGGTATAGACAGTATATTCGAAAATAAATTTGAGGCAAAAACTATAAAAAGAAAAACAGAAAAAGAAAAACAACAGAAAGACGGAATTGGAAAGGAAAATAATAAAGTTACAAGTAACAATGTTCGTCAATCATCATTTCCAGGGTCCTTTCCGAAGAAAATTGAACAACCTGTAAGGACGCAATTCTGGGATCATAACAACTTAATTCGAAAGATCCTGGTTTGGAATCCTGTCTGGTTTGATGAGTATGGTAAGGTTATATAATTGTTCAATTACAAAATAAAATGAAGTAAATTTGAATAGGCCACATTGTTAAAAAACATATTTGTTCAAAAGCAATATATTATGACGTAAATCTGAATTGGCTACATAATTTAGAAAATACATGAAATAAGATTAAACACGTAACAAGATTACACAAACTTAGTGATTGCATTACAGAGCGGTACTTATCGTTTTAAATATTAATGAAACATTTGCAAATGGACTTAGATCAAGAAAAAAAAATCAATCAATCTGTTGTCAAAATTTCAATTATACAAACAAAACATGTAATATAATAAATTGTCAATTGCTTTGATAAACACTATTAGTTGAAGGAAATGTGAGGGAGTGAAAATATCCCATTCGGAAAGATAGAATAATTTGCAGATCAAATTAAACATGTCATTCAGTGTCTTCCCATTAAAGATTTTTTTACCATTTTAAAACCTTGATTTCCTTCTTGTTTAATGGAATTTCATTACAGAGTATTTAACTTTATTTAATGACTAATTGATATTGAATATGAAAATACCAATAAACTACTGGTATGTCTATCCCCCATGCCAATGAAAAGTAATGAAAATTATGTAAAACTCAAATATAGAGTATCAGTCTTTTAAGTAACAAATTACTTGTTACATTCCAAAACAACGTATATTTTCTTTAACAGAGAAGTTGAGGACAACTCCGCCAGATATCTCGAAAGACGTTAACCACTTCTTGACAGCATATGAAAGTCGAAAGGATTACTTTAAAACAGTATTGCCTCATCTGCTTTTAGAAACATGGGAATCAGTAAAGAAGACATGTGTTTCCTACATAAATGAATTCTTATTAACTACTTCATTATATCAAGCCCCAGTAACTTTTATATCCAACTTTTTTTTCAAAGCACAGTTTAAAGTGACATTTTTGTAAAAAAAAAAAGCTTATTGTCTAATGAAGCTCATGTATAAACGCTTGGAAACAATGAATCTTATCTGCAACTTTTTTTTAAATTGAAATTAGACATTTGTTTTGGTACATACAATATGTCATCGTATATCTCTATGAATTGCAATTTTAGATATGTCAGTTTTAATCTGTATCATCTTTTTTTCTAGTGTATTCAAGAATGGCATATCCTGAAAGGAAAAAGACCTGTTACAAAATGTGTGTTTTGTAATCGAAATGATACCGACATCAGCATATTTTCCAATGCATATTTCACAGGTATTATAATGAAAATAAGCTTATTTCAAGTCAGTGTCCTTCACTTAACATTTGATATAATTTATCAAGTGTTCTGTTTAATACCATATTAAATTGCTTTCTTTGTAAAGTTAAGGGTACATACAACATAATCATATTGATAATGCAGTTCAATATATTTAAAAGCTTATGCTGTGAAATTACTTGAAAACGTGAGGTGAGGAGCTATATGACTAAAAACTGACAAAGAATAGTCAAATACATCCAATGTCAACTTTGCCTGATGTAGTTGGAATGTTATTTCTTAATATTTTTTTATTTATCAACGAAGAATTAATTCAAGAAATTTATATTATAAATCATGTACCGAGGTATTGACTAATGAACTGATCGTAACTGACTAGTAGTCTTCTTGCACAGAATCAATCGCGTACGAGTAAATAAAAATAAAATTTAATTAAAATGGTTCGCCCGAAGAGTTTGTCTTGATTTACATACATCAGAAACGCTGAAACCCACAAATCTAAGGGTTATTCCATTAAAATGTATGTGGGAGGGTAGGAAGGGACTTTCAACATATCCCTACAACCAAGAACCAGTTTTAAGATAATTTTGCATAATGGTAAAAGATGCATACTGAAAAAAGACCCATGACCCACATTCAATAATTAAACTTCCCTTCCTACCCTCTCACATAATTTTAATGGAATAGCCCTACAGCCAAAAATGTATTAATACTTAAATACGTTACGACCTATATGACCAAACATGATATTAAAAGAAAAAACTAATTCATCTTTGCTTCACTTTGCACGAAGGAGATCAAATCATAGCTTCATTCTAATTGTAAATTTATCAATTGATAAAAATTTCAGAAATAAATGTTATAAATCATATCAATAACGAACCACTGACTACTTAGCTGTTACCACTCCAAAGACTAGCATCATCAGCGGTATCGACGACATGTTGTTATAACAGTTCATTCATTGGCTGTGCCCGAAGCGCTCTTCTCAGGAACGATAGGAAATCCAAAAATGCATACGCTATTTAAACCATTATAATAGTAATATTATATTAATTGTTGATGAACAGTTTTCCTTGAAAGAAAGATTTTGTCGTTATGCAATGTAGAACATGACAAAAACCACACATAGTACATATGTTATCCTTTTATTTTCGGAAATGAGTTCATAGTTGGGTATATTTCAAAATATACGAAATGAAAGCGTTCAGCAAAGTACATGTGTGTGTGTGCTACGCATGAAATAGACATTTTACAACAAAATTAAATTTTTCCATTCGTACATGAGAATACACATATTGCTTATGACATCTGCTGCATTCTAAGTCTATTTCAGGAATAACTATTGACGTCAAAACTTATTACATGTGTTGATCATTCGCCTTTTAGTTAAGTCTGTATTGATGAACAAATATGTTTAGATAAAGATTAATTGTGTAAAAAATGTAGTTATATGTGCCAATTTATAGTCAAGCAAAAACCATTGCAATACTTTAAAGAATGAATGAAGTACTTAACATGAATGATAAGTCCCGGTTCCCTGTTTTAATTTAACATTTGTTGTTCATTATAGCACACAGTATTAAAAAATGTGTAGCTAAAGCAACAGCTACAAGAAATTCATTCCTTCGTTCAACAATGGATTTACACCTCAAAATAAAGGAATGTTTAAAATAATTTCAAAACTTCTTATTTCTAATGATTCTGATTGTTACTTTGCTCGAAAAATAAGTTGATTTAAAAACTAACATAAAAACGCACTGCACTATCAATTTTAGTAAAAGATCACAGCTTTAACAAAGACGACGTTCTTATACTGCGATCATCAACAGGTGACGGTAGATATAAAGCTTCAATGTGTTATATAGAGGATATAACTTACAAACTGTCAAACAGCATAAAAAGCATACCAACTTACTGTCATGCAGGTAAGTTCTGATAGTATTTGATATAATAACGGAGTATACTTTTATATTTTTACAGCTATGGTGTATTTATTTTAACAATGCCAATGAAGGATGAGGTAGAAATTAGACATAAGTGTTTTTGCCACAGAATGCACCAAAACCAAATCTTTCGTCAAAATAGAAGAGGTTTTATGCTTTGAAAGAGCTTCATATGCAGAAAAATTAAAACGATCGACATTCAAATAAAAATTGCAAACGAAACCGATCATTTAACTGACAAAAATGAAATAGATGAACTACTTCTATCATCATAGGAAGTAAAATTTTATTTAATTATTAATGGGCAACAAATCAAGCAAATGAACTTTTAACAAGCAATCAAGAGCAGTTTTAGACGTATCGGTGGGTTGAGAAAAAACTTTACGACAGAAAGGAAGTTTTTTATTGTGAACTTTTCGTTTCTATTTAGCAACATTACAGCAGCGCCTGCATATGGAGTATAGTTATGTCTCCAGGTTAATACGATGTTCAAGATTTTTCAATTTGATTCATAATTTCCTTGATAGAGGAATGCTGCTAACCACAACCCGTAATCTTTTCCATTATTGAAACATCACCGAATGAGAATTATCACCGAGCAATTATGAGCAACATGACGGGTGCTGTTTATGAAGCAGAATCTGATTATCCTTTCGGATCACCTGGCATCACCACTAGTTTTGTTTAAAAGGGTTTTGTGTCTTGCTTTCTTTTTCAATGCAGTAATTGTGCTTTTTAATTGTTCGTCATTTTCTGTGGTGTATCTACTGGTAACAGACTCGTCTATTCCATGTACCGAAGAACGTTTTTCAATTTAAAGATTTCAAAATTCGCAAAGTTTTAGGGTTAGTAAATATACATCATTTGTACATGATCATGACGGATGGTTTTCGATTTGATGATGTCTTAGTGTTAAATAAGAGTCAATTACAAATCCGCATTGCGTGATGCCTAACGGCAACAACTTATTGACGTATTTAACAGTAGTATTACGACGGGTGACATACGTTGAGCAGGATCCGGGTCAACCCCCGGCTGTCATGGTGGGGTTCATGTTGCTTTTGTTTTGTGTGTAGTGTTATGTGGATTTATTGGTCTTTATTCTAGTAACTCTACAACCGTATCAGAAAGAAGTCATGATTTGTTAACAATTAGTAGTTATTAATTACACGGAATAGAAAAAGGGAGGGTAACATCAACGTATAAGATATGATTTCTTTATGTACATTCAACTCCTTTCATAGGGTTATTGTGCTTCATATTCTATCCGCTAGGGTGCTTTTATCTTTTTCAACTGAACAAAAATATTTTTATATTTCCTATATGAAGTAATATGAATTTCATTTCAGATACTCAAGGGTCTTCAGCAGAAAAATGCAATACAGTATTAAAACTTCAATTAAAGTCTAGTCATTTTGAAATGTTTCCTAGTAGCAAAAAATGTGAATCCACTCTAGAGGTAAATAATATTACCATTTAAATGTGTTAAGATATGACAGTTTTCCATTTAGCTAAAAAATGAAAGCTGCCTCCCTCATGTCCTTTTTGTATTGTTTTATTTGCAGGTTAAAATCTTCCAAATACAGGTTTTATTTCAAATGCTTACCGTACATTCTTGAAAATTTATATCTACTGATAAGTGTTTTGATCTGAACGATTAATTTATACAATGTATTAGATTATATTTCTGAAGCAATTAATTTATTAATGCATGTTTAAGACCCAAGTGTAAAATGATACACAATATGAGGAATGTAACTTTTTACTTAAAACAACATGTGTTTTGTTAATCAGGGTTATGTTATGTTTTTAATTTTTTTTTAAATAAGAAAAAAAATGGAGTCTTATATTTCAATTCGATTTAACATGAATATTCTCCAAGGTATTAACGTAAGTACATAAAACATTAAAAAGTTAAATTCATAGACTAATAAATATAATAAAACAATTCCTCTTTTCAGTTCGTTCATTCTCTGAGGGATGTCCTTTCAATATATAATGGTTTGGCAACATCGTTTGAGACACAATTGATCCGTCATGTGTTGAAACCAGGCAACATTGATATTTTCAAAAGTATTTCTACTGAACACAAAGAAAGGGACTTGAATGTGCTTGTGAATGAGGTATATTTGTCAATGAATAGTATATGACATAATTACAAATAAGAGTAGCCATCACTCGATTTCAATTGTCGAATGCCAAACTTTGATAGTGGTATTTGCGTTAGAGTTAACTTCGAATCGAAGTTGTTAAAACAAAAAAAAACAAAAATTTGGAATAGCCAAATACAAATTGTTCTATGATATGAGCATTCAAAGGTTTACAGTGTTTGGCTTCTAGTCGTTTTGGTTGAATTTAATTTAGAATTTTATATCTTGTAACGTCTTTCGAGCTTTTAAATTTGCATCGTATCTAATATAAATTCTTCAGTTTCTCTTAATTTTGTCTGGCATAGCAAAAATAAACAAACAAACGTATTGTTAATCATCAGTAAACATCAAATTGTAGAGTATCATTTTCTCTTTTTTATAAATAATGTTATATAATGACCTTTCCATTACATTTTAGAACGATTATAACGCTATACAGAGAACAGCAATATTAAATGCAGCAGATTTGATTTTGGAAAGAAATATAAGTAATCGTGTCTGTCTCATTCGAGGACCTTTTGGGACCGGGAAAACGGATATCCTTATTGGTATCATAAAGGCAGTATTTCAGGTCTGTGAATGAAAATCTTAGTTAAAAATATTTATACACATATGTCTTGGTTATCATATCGTCAAGGTAAAATACCAAAAGGAAAAAAATGAGTCATTTGAGATTTTTTGATGGGAATTTCTTAAGAAATAATACATCTCCATAACCATGATAACATTAGAACAATAACATTGTAGTAACTATAACGATACATGTAAAATCGATCTTTAAAGGCCTAAAAGTACCTACACTATCTCCAAGAGAAATATTTTGTTGTCCTTGCAGATAAAGCCCCAAACTACATCGTTTTTGTGTGTAAATCACATTACACAAACTGCCAGATAAAGGAATAAGGTATTGACAATTCACAAATATTCCATAGATACTTAGTAAAGAGGAAATCTTAAATAACCAATGGTCTGTTCTATTTTTCTTCATAATTTCAACCAAAGATGAAGAACTAGATCTTATTCACTGATACCTAAATTGCATGATAAAACTTATCAAAGATATCAGGCTTATAATTGTTTACGACAAACTCACAGTTCATCTATAAAAACAATTCAATGGCGCTTTTTGTTTTACATTTTTGTTACATAATTCCATATATGAAAAAAATTAAATACATTGAAGTACATCAACGATATAATGCGAGAATATTGGTAATGCGCGAATTGTGTGTTTATTAGTATCGGATTTTTATATTAAACAGTTTTAGGCACATCATAACTTTCCAAATCTCAAGTGGTTTAATATCAGTAAATAGGTTAAGAAAATGACTTAGCGTCTTATTTCACGATATTAAATCAAAAACAGTTTTATCCAAAAACAAACCATCAGACACAAATTCAGAAATCAAATACTAGTGAGGTTACTTGGCAAGTTTAAAATTTCAATAAAAGTTCAAAGGATAACTCCTTCTTGATGCATCTACACCATTTCCCTTCAAAAGATTTAATTGACAGCCAGGAAATTGAATGTTATAATAGTTTGAATGTAAAACTATGTGAATGTGATATTCGAAATAAACATTTTATGGAATGTGAAAAATATGAGTTGCGTCGGATATAAATCGACCATTATGCAAATGCATATCAATACGTATGTTAACCAATTCGGGTTGAAAAATCTCTACGGATAATCTGTAACTGTTTAAAAATTGAGTTGTTAAAAAGAACCCTTCAAAACAGACCAAAAACTTATCTTTTATTCCGTATTTGAATGTTCCAAAATCAATCAAAAGCTTACACATGTACATTTATACGTGCACTTGCATAAGGTCGATTTCTATTCGACGCAGCTCATATGTATAAATATTCTGAATAATCTTTTTCGTATATCCATAACCATCAGTTCCTTTTTAAGTGCAGATAATGTACACAAGCAACTTTACTCTCATTTTTTTTTATATTTTAGCGAAGTGGTGGCAAATGCTGCATTGCCCTTTGTGCTCCATCACAAGTAGCAGTTGAAAATCACATGAAAAGGTTGATTAGGGAAAGACAGAAAATGCAATTGAAAAGTGGGTGCTGTAAAAAAAAAATTTCGATTTAACAAAGATTTCAGATAAATTCTAAATGACTGAATAAAACAAAATTCTTTATGGTGTTTTGAAGAATTAGTTGTTGATAGATAATTTTTGAAAATATTTTTTGATTTCATTCGCAATGTTTACGAAACTTATGGTTTGAATGCTTATCATCTCCAATCAATGGTCATTTATTGATTTCTGATATGTCATTGTTGCTTCAATTGTGAGATTATAGTGACTACGAGAATGAGGAGGAGATTATATCTGCTAAACATTGAGAAAAACTGTTATGCTGTTTGTCAAAAACGATTTTGGTTGTTTGGTTTATCACATACTTTTATTGTTATTCACCTGCAAATTCCTGTCATGACTGCGCTGAAAAACATCCACTGCCTAAAAAGAAAATTGTATACACAACTTTCCAATTTTAACATTAAAATACAAAAAATGTAATGATTATAACACATATTAAGTCGTTATCCAGTTTTAATATGTTAAAAAGGACTAAAATACTTGAACTCTTGTTTTCCGTTTCATTTAATACAATTTAGCATTGAAATGTCGACTGTTAACGTTTCATTTTATTTCCCTTTCTTTACAAGATTAGAATAAGAACAAAAGCATTGTATATATTTTTTTCTAAAAATATAAATGTGATTCCTGTTGTTACTTTATTTGTTTTAGAAACTGGTTTATTACTCATTGGAGATGATAGTAACTACCATCCGGATGTTCAGGCGTACTCACATAAGACACATGTACAAAACGGTCAGTATATGATAGACAACCTTTGCATTCTGCAGTTGCAATAACATCACACAGACAATCAAAATGAAAATTATCTATAAAACAATTCCACACCAAAAGCAATTTAATCTTATCAGCAGTGTAAGGACACATTACATAAAGATGTATTTTATTATCCAGAAATCATCTAAAATTGAAAATTCAAAAACACTGGAATCAATGGTAAATATTGAAAAACTACACGTGGCATATATCTTTGCCGGTATTGCAAATCATTGAGGGGAATCACGTTTTGCGGCGCTCAAAATATTCATCTTTTTTATGAAAATCTTATATGTTTCACTTATTTATGCCTCAAATAAAAATCTGAAATCACAGATAAAGTTTAAAGACACCTGTTATTGAACAAATTACTGCAACAGTTTACAATAATATTTTACCGATGTTCGAAACTCGTACATGTAAATCTATTTTGAATAAATCAATCGTGAGATGAACCCGAATTAATACAAACGAAGCTTAATCGTGTGCGTTGAAATGACCACGGTAAGTTTCTCCTGTATGTATGCCTTACGCAACCAGATTTAAAAGAAAATTCAAGAATAGAAAATAAACCACAATCGTTTAAATTTCTGATTGTACGATTATTCTTGGGTCTTCAGATCTAAAATTGTTTAAAATTCACAACAAGCTGTAAATTCAATAGAGAAGTAACTAACTGGCAAGGTTAATGACATTGATCATATATATCATGATACTGTTTACAAATTATTTCCATTATGATAATAAAGAGATGTGCATATTAACGTATGATATTTTTCAAGTAACAAAAAATACTTCACATTTTAGAAAAAGAACATTTTAAGAGAACAACTGCGACATCTAGTGTTGTGAATGAAATTCAGCGTTTAAATGTAAAGATTTCCATTATTGAAGAAACGGAGCATAGTACAGAATCAAATGTAAGTTTATTCATAGTACAAAGTTGTCGTAAATTAACTTTGAAAATCATTTACATTACAAAATCATATTTTACAGAGATGATAAGACTTGATCAGAGTTCATAAGACTCGAGGTAGTTTTTTTTAATTTTTTTATTTCTTATTTTCTTATCTTTTTGGAGTGAACTAGATTCGCGATTTGTCCTAATTCAAATTTTGTTTTGAATTTATAGCTAAGGAACTAAAATAATCTAATCAGATTGTTTCAGAATAATAACTATGAAGAGCATCCCTTAAATGATATAATCCTTACATTTTAGAAGAAGGAAATGAATACACTTTTAAAGAAACGAAATGAATTGACTAGTCAGGTAAATATTTAAAGAATTATACCCTTTCAATATTTACACAAATTTGTAACAATTTACATGACTACAAACGAACAAAATTAATGTTTATATACACATATATAGTATGAGTGGTTTCATGCTAGTGGTTTCGCCCTGAGAGTTAACGAGCATGGCTTAGTTCTTCTGCTTGTTGCTTGTTTTATATCAAAGAATGGCCGTTTGGAATAATGTGTCTAGGTAGGGTTGAATAACTATCTGCCGATTGGGTTTTGCCTTTTTAGCTTACACGTTAATTAATCAACTCGAATAATTGACCCTTGACAAAGTAGTTAAACCTATTCCAAAATAAAATGTTCAGTCTCTTGTATGGAATATGATTTATCTAAACGTAAAACAACCAAATAATGAATCAAAGCAGATGAATGTTGTGTGGTGAAAATTTATGAATACCGTCACAAAAAAAATATATAAAAATTTTGAATAACGACTCGTTTTCTTCAATTTAGTTACACTTGAATTGTCACATGAACGTTCAGTAAATAAATATACTGATATATACCAATACATGCAGGATGTGGCTCGCTAAAATATTTAGCTTTTTTTGTACTAGGAGATATATTGTATATGTGATGGGACTGCACCCCAACTAAGCAGAAGACCAAAAGAGAACTAGTGACCAATACAATGTTTTCAATAATATAAGAATGCCAATACATATGCCAAGAAAATCGCTCCAAAACTAGAAAAGAAATGCAAAAACTGTCAGAAACTAACAAACACCAAATGTTCATAAATGATTTTAAGAACACAAAAGCACTACCATATAGATAAAAAATATATTCGACAAATTTCCTGACTTTGAAAAGGTTCATTTACTTGTTGCAGGATTAAAACTAAACGTTAATATCTGGTTTCTCAATCGGTATTATAACATGTATAACCAAAAGAAACTTTTTTAATATTTTAGATAAGTGAAGAGAGACTTGAAAAAGATGTCTTGTTAAGAGGAAAAGTGATATGTGGAACTTTCCGATCTTTTGGAGAACAGTTGTACCTTAATGTATTGTCGTCTGTTAAGAACAATTGCAGGAAATCGATTTTTACCTGTATGCTCATGGATGAGGTAAAGTTAAAGATTATTTCAGGAAAACATTTAAAAATACAACCAGACAACACTTCAGTTACCACACAATACATTGTTTTCAATGACTAGTTTTTGTTAACTTTCATGGATGGGAACAATACAAATTTATATTGAAAAAGGGAATTATAACGAAAAAGATTTTATACATTATTTATAGTCTTCGTCCGTTTTAAATCATTTGATTCTGTACTCTTTTACCATGTGTCATCAGATGATGGAATATATTTCAACTTTACACAAATGCTTAACTTTACAGGCCCAACAAGCATCAGAGTTGGAAACCCTCCTACCTCTACAATACGGACCAAATAAACTTATCATGGCTGGCGATCTAGAACAACTTGCACCGACAGTAAAATCCGAGGTATTGAGATCGAATGTTTAACAAACTAATATAGGGGCACCCATCTAGGAGCTAATTTCATTTAAAACAAAATTTTCATGACAAAAATGTATGTGTCACTATTGAATGAACTTAAATATATTTATATAGTTTGTAGGTGTAATGCAATTGTTAAAAAAATAAATATCTATGATAAATTCACTTACTTAAGGTAGCTCAATACAAAAGCAACTAAATTTTATCAAAATTTCATTTTCAGCTTTTTTTTGTCACTTCTTATTATTCAAAAACCACAAAAGAAAAAAAATATGTTTCCATATCCTGCACTGTTAATGAGTTTTTATAATAATTAGTCTTATAAACAAATGCACGTGTCTGACTGATACAAGATAAGAACATGTGGGGAGTACTTTGTGGTTAATCAATAGAACCATTTGAAAGCTTTATGACCACTGACCAGCAATAGAAATAACAGTTACGAAAAAGAAGTGTATAAGGGATTTATAGAAAATAAAGAAGATAGTAAATTCCAAATAAAAATACATTACTATATTAGAGCTGCGAGGAGAAAAACAAAACATTATCTGTAGATATACAAGGAATCAATATATAAAGGTACATGTATTAAATTAATATAATTGTGCAACAATTTAAGTTGATGGTTATATCAGATTTTCTTTAGGTGAATGTTTATATATGAATTCTTTTTAAAGGAAAACACGAATTGAATATTTTATTTTCAAACTACAAAAGAAAATTCTACTTTGCGGATAACACAATATTGTCATTGTATACAATTATAATTCTAGAAATCCCGCATAAGATTCCACTAGCCTGACTAACTGATAATTTTATTTACAATTGCAAAACTTACTTTGTTTAAAAATGTGAAAAACAAAAAATATTGTTTGATGTTCTAAATGAATAAAATCCATACTGAAAAGTGAAAATGCAATATGTTATTAAACTTCTGTAATCAATAATGGCAAATGCTTATCCAGGTGGGCGTAGTTTTGACCATATCAGTAACAACTAACTTAAAAAATGGTCAATTCTCCCCCCAGATCTGATTTTTTATGCATATGGTGTGCATTTTCTATATATATTTAGAATTTCTGAAATGGCATGCTTTCCTTCTGGTCAAAACCTGATTCATTTATGAATAAAGGCCAATCCTGAAGTATCCCAATTGTACGTACATATATGCAGTATATTCAAGTTAAAGAGGTTCAAATAGAAAAACCCTCTGCATTTGTTTGCACCTGTCCTAACATGTCCTAAGCCAGTACCTGTTGGTCAGTGGTTATCGTTTGTTGATGTGGTTCATAAGTGTTTCTCGTTTCTAGTTTTTATATAGATTAGACTTTTTGTTGTCCTGTTTGAATGATTTGACACTAGTCAGTTTTGGGGCTTATCATACATGTTAAAGCTTGCTGTTCGGTGTGAACCAAGGCTCTGTGTTGAAGGCCGTACTTTGACCTATAATGATTTACTTTTACAAATTGTGCCTTGGATGGAGAGTTGTCTCATTGGCACTCATACCATATTTTCTTATATCTATTGACACATACATTTTTGTCATGAAAATGTAGTTCTAATGAAATTAGGTCCTAGATGGGTGCCCCTTTATGCCTGATTTCAGCACAAGTTGTTCCATGATCAGTTATCTCCAAAACAATCTCCGATTTCCAAAAGCATCAGTAGAACAAATTTAGTGATTTCTTATGAATTTTAAAGGTTTTAAACTTAATTGAATGTTTATGAGAGAATGCAATATAATAGGAAAAGGTTGAGACACGGTTTTGGAGGTCAACTGTGTTGCTCAAGAATCTATCAAAAATGTTTGTATGCTGTGAAAAAAAAAATGCTAAATTCATTCCAATATGGACATCACACTCTAACAACAGACTTACTTATGACATAACAATCATGTAATAATTATGTAATTATTATATTATCATCATTTAAAAGATTAATCGTTCCTATTTCTTTTGGTTCCTCGTTTATAAATTTCAAAGCTAGATGAAAGAAGCTACATCAGTACAAATTTAAAGTTCAATGTTTCGGGTGACAAAATCTTTGTATTGTGCTACCATAAAACAGTAGAAACCGGTATATTTGCTTAGAAGAACAATTTCAATGATTTAGTCACATGGCTTTTTGATGTTATCTTTCATTAAAAAAAAATCTGAATGTTTTAGAAAAATAGCAATTTCAGTTCAATATCTAATTACTTGTGCCATGGGTTATTTATTGTCTATCTTTTGCAGCTATCTAGAGACAAAAGTTTTGACCAATCTCTTTTCGAAAGATTGTGTGATCACTTCAGATTTCATGGAGATAAAAACACTGTTTTGGTATTGAAAACCCAATATAGGAGTCACCCAGAAATTGCAAAGTTTCCAAGTGAAATGTTTTATGGTCGACACTTAGATACACACAGGTATTTAAGGCTAATTCATTGCGCAACAACCTGTTTGGTTCATTTGGTGGATCAAATAAAATTCAAAACCATATTTTTTTTGAATTTTATCAAACAATGTCCTGTGAATACAATACAGTGTATTACAAACCGTTACTGCATACTTATGATTAACTTTTCATCGATAGAATTTTTCTCAGTAACATATGTAATCATTCAGATAAGTACGATCAATTCAAAGTAATATTACAAATGGAATATTTGAACTAGATTCAAATGGATTCAATGAAGATCTCTCCTTTCAGAATATTTTTATAACTATAAATATTTGGAAATTGATATTTCGATTTCTTAAACTTCTTTAGTAGCTTTTCTGTATCTCATTTATCAATTCATTTCTACCTCTCATATTAAGACAGATAATGATAAAAATCATACATGTATTAATTCAATCATTAATATAATCTTAATATGAATTTCATAATTTGCTTGGCTGATAGCGCATTGCAAATTTATATTAAAATTATATTTTAGGTATTTGAAAGAGAGGTCAGAAACATTCAACCTAAAGCCTTATATTGTCTTTAGTATAGAAAGGTATGAAAATGTTTTCAAACAGTATGATTACAATTATAAATTTTATTCTGACGGCAAAAGGCGGGAAATAACCTTCTACCTTGTTTCAATATTTCTATTGATAGTTTTCATAAAATCTCAGAACTGGTCCTTGTAGCGGAAATCTCAGTCCCAGTTTAAAACTGGCATAACAGGAAACGTTTTTAATAAAATGTTGCCATTAAATTTCTCAGCAGGTTCATAGAAATGTTTTCGGGTGGTATACATAATATATAGTTACAACAGTCTTAATTTACAAAAACAATGTATGTAAAAGGTGGAATTTGACCTCTTCACTTCTTCATGGTTGTCCCCCTCAATTGGATAGACAAATATTCGGTTTTTCATAACAAATGCAAATCCAGAAAACGCATTACATTTATAAAGTGTTATTTTCATTTTATTTTACACATAAAGGAAGAAGTATAAAAGTGGCAAACTCTATTTTTGAAATATACCAATTGTCTGAAAATAATTGATAGAAGTTCGACATCTTTGGCTCTGCAGAACAGTTAATAACACGGTTCAATAGAACTCCTGTCATTCAATTTTTTTTCAAATTCTCCTGATTAAAGAGGGATTCGTCTAATTTTCAATGTCTTTACCATCGTCAACGAAATGGGTTCAATGCCCAGCACATTGCTTCTACCATATAAAAAGAAGACGATAAAACATAATTGTCAATGAGACAACTCTCTTCCTCCTCCTCACCGTTTGTCCTTTTAGTGAGCTTTCAAAGACCCCGAAATGACAAATGAAAAAACAATTCAAACGAGAAAACTAACGGCCTGAATTATGTAAAATACAATGAACAAAGTACAAAAAAATGATATACGACAACAAACGACAACCACTGAGTTACAGGCTCCTGCCTTGGGACAGGTACATACTGAATGAGGTTGCGTTAAATATGTTACCGGGCACCCAACACTCCCACTCACTTTGGGTCAGTGTTGTAACAGTACAACATATCTGTTTTTCTGGTTTCACATAAGCAATTCAATATTTCAACTAATTTTATGCATTTAGTCAAAAATAAAAATAATGTTTTTTTATGTAATGAAAGGAGGTAGGACGTATACGCCAATGTGATAATAACCGAGCGACAAATGTAATCAAAAGACGTGTGTATTGAAACGAAGTGGTTATCATGGAGGTTTTCTTTAATTTGGGTATCCTGTCATATTCTGTCTAAACTCTTGTCTGACACTCATTTTGTCCAAATTTATTCTGACCGTCATTTACTCGTGTGTTCAACTGTGCGTTATTTCTAGTTCTAATGTATATCATTTAGTTTATAGTTCTCCTTAAATTGGTAAGTGTTTATACGTAGTAATTGAATTTTAGTAATGTAGGATCATCATGGTTTATGTGCATTATTAATAGAATATATTTGGACTGGTGTTGCTTTTATTTTTTAATTCATGCTGTAAAGTTTCATCATCGTTTTTGCATGAAATGCTTTGCACTTGGTCTTAAAGTTGGGACTTCTTAGAAAGGACGTGATATTAGTACTGGACTGTAAAACTATTGTGAGTTTGCTGGAGTTTCAAATTGACAACAAATTTGTTGAATTTGGAGGTAGGATTTTCCAGCAGGCTAAAGGAACCACCTGTGCGCCGGTGCCGAGCACTTCTTATTTTCATTTCAGTTGGAATTATTTCAGAATTTTGAAGAAAAAAAACACTAGAAGATCAAAGAAACTAGATTCCTTAATTTCACATACCAATGTTTTAATGATGTCCTCTCCATAAACAATCCATTTTCTTCTGATTGTGTTCCATTAATATATCCTCGTTAAACAGAGATTAAAGAAACCACAGACACAGCTTCCCTCACCTCATGTTAAGACAAATACCTCGAACTTGACTCCAGCTGTCATCTCAGTACCAAAGTCGATGACAAATTAGACGATTTCAGTTCTAAAATTACAAGATTTCCTTACATTAGCAGCATTATACCAACTTCACCTGCATATTTATTTCTCAAGTCATACGATATTCAAGAGCTCTTGCAGCTCCTACTCAGACAATGTAAAACATCATCGGTGTCTGAGCAAAAATTAACGAACTAGGGTTTTGTCAAAGACCTATTGTCTTTTTTCTCAAAAAGTTAATCGAAAAGTACCAAGACCTTATAAGGAATATTCAGTATAAGATTCCCAATTCATACAGGATGGTCTTGAGTTATAGATTTTAGGTGTTTATTAGGAATGTCAACTCGGTAAAGATTTACTAATCGAGTACTCGTTGGATTTACCGAGCGATACTGGAGTAATCGCTCGGAAAAACATCTACAAAATGGAAACACAAAATTATACCCATTTTATGTATTGTGGGCCGTTGTCTTATGGACGTAAAACCCTCAATATTATTACCTAGGACTAGATGATAGTTCCAGTAATTTTATACCATAATTAGTAGCTCATTTACTACTTGTGCCAAATAAGTAAACTGGCAAGAATCTAATCAATTAATTAATAAACTTCTTTAGAAAAATGATTACTCAAACAACAGTATTTGTGAACCGTAAAAAAACTCATTTAATGATCAACAAAGGAGTAATGATTAGAACTTACTGATGCCTTTAATCATTTTCTGAGGGTCGATACAGGGTGCAACGAATTTGTTCTTATTTAGAAATATTATCTTGTCAACTTTTTCTGGGACGATGCGATTTCTCAACTTTGTTACGTACTTAACAGTCCTGATGATGAAAATATTTGCTATGACGGTACAGAGGTGGGGGAATGACTAAGATTAGTTAAAAGTGTAAGCCATGGAAAGGCGCTCTGTTCATAGCCTATACCTCTGTTCGGAAATATTTTAAATGACAATTAAACGCAAAGATTCGAAACTATTTTAATTTTGATTAATTTTGATTAATATTTAATTTCCCGGTAGGCGCTCTCAATAAAAATATTTTGTGTTTAAGCTTAAAGAAAGCAACAACATTCTAACAGGAAACCGATTAGTCGAGTATCATTTTGTTATTCGATACTCGAGTACTCGTTGACATCCCTAGATTTACTTTTTGCAGTTTTTCTATTATTTGTTCTTATGCTTTTATGTTCATCCTGTGGTATGACTCATGTAGTGGATCGGTATTTGTGCATCGGATTTTAGCTTTTGGCTTTTGGCGTTTCAGACGTATGCACTTTTTATGTGGTTTTTTTTTCATTTTGTGTACCCTCGTATTTATATCTTACTTAATATGCAACTTATCGGGAAAGTGTGAATATGTCTACATGTTTTACCAAACTTTACTAAATCATATTTACTATCACCTACAAAACATGCAAAAGGCTTTTCTTATGATGTATGTTTACACAACTTTGGCTACTGTATCCCAATTATGATCACATTTAACAGTTATGTCAGTTTTGATTGCTCGCACAATATTGTCAATATAACCAAACAACTATATATAACTGTCATAAAAGTGGGTGGTTTAGCTAGCTATAAAACATGTTTAACCCATCAAAATGCCTGTACCAAGTCAAGAATATGACAGTTGTTTTTAAGTCGTTCCGTTGGTTGATATAGTCGAGCGTTTGAATTTGTCATGTTTCATTGACATCCTTATTTTGAATTTAACTTCGGTATTTTTGTTAATACATTTTTTAATATGACAAATAGTAACAATAATTTGAATTTCGTTTTCAAATTAAAAACAAAATTAAATCAATTGGAGTGTTGTAAATATGGTAAATGTCAAGTATTACATAAAACCTTAATGCAAATGGGGATAATTTGGCCATGTTATTCAAAAGACAATCATTATAAGTTACATTTTTAATCTGATTAATATAGGCTTTTACATGTATAAAAACATAAACATTTGGTAAACTAGAAGGAAGACTACCAAAACATGCAATTCCTTTTTGCGTGAAGTATATTTAAGAATCGGTAAGCAAAATGGTGATGATATTTGAAAATCTAATATTAAGCTTAATTCAATGTCTGCTTATGAATGTGTTACACACGAAGATCAAATATGATAAGCTAAAATAACAGCGGTTAAGTATATAGGTTAAGCATTTAATTCTACAAAATAGAAATACAATTCATTTGAATGCCAATCTGGTGCCAGATCATTCATTTTCCTTTTTATGTTTCCTCGACAAAACAAGTCATCTGCATAGAACTCAACAACGTACTTTAATTCTGACTTTAATGTTTTATCACTTTACCCGATATACGTGAAGTTAGCATTTAATTGGTATCATATGTTTGTGTATTACCTCGGATGTGACAGTCCTTAAAAAGACGGATCCTAATACAGTCATCCAACCTAAATGTGTGAAAATTAACGCATAGATCTATACTATTAAAATAAAGAGGTCCAATCTAATAGACGGCATGACGGAAAAACGACGAATCAAAGAATTCAACTTTATATATAACTAATGTAGGACAATTGTGTTGATTAGAAATTACACCATTCCAGGCCATTTTGTTTTCCACATAATTAATATTACTTACAATTAACAAGTTCCAGGTTGAATCCGATACCAATCCCAATAGTTTGTGTCACATGTAGTTTCCGGTTGTAGTAAGAAAACCTGAATGGGTTCAAACAGAAAGATTTCGAAAGCAGAGAAAATGTGCACTTTATAATCAGCATGACTTTATCAGATGAAAATACGAATACTAAAAATTTAGGCTAAAAAAGGGGAAGATACTTTAATTTAGTTACAGACCCGTCTCCTAGTTGTTTTAAAAAATCAGAAGTATGACGAGACTAGTTATAACCAAAACGTAGGGAAAAAAAACAACAAACGCTATAGGTAGTAAATATTTAGTTTCATCCTACATATTTTTCATCGTATATTCGTTGAGCTTTCTGTCGACCAATCTTTTTGTTTTGTTTTAGAGAACAAACAGTTACTGCAGTAGATATAACCATATCATTATGTGAGTTCCTGTACTCCTTCGTGCTACAAAATACTAGACTTAACCATAAAGACTTTGGAATAATTACAGCATTTGATCAAATAAGCAAAATCAAAGAAGGCTTTGCTAACAGGTAAGTTACTTTTGATACACAAAATTCTACTTTTACTGTCGTATACGTATAGATTTTGTCCACTCATCATTCTTTTGAAAAAAAATATTCAAAGCATTTTTTAATCTCTAGTTAAAAATACTGCAAAGACAGTTTTAATGATTAAGATTTTGTTTTTTGGGATCATTTTGTTTAAACTAAATCGTCACAAAACTTTGATTATTTATAGTCCTGCTCACGAAAAGTAAAGGAACGCAGGTGGCAAAACATTTAGAGAAAATACCTTTACGTCATGATAAAGAGGGTTATTCTCTTGGTCAAATCTTTTTTAAAAATTATATCATATAGATTCTTTAAACATGTTAAAAGAAAACAACTATTATGCTGTTTTTTGGTTTTACAATCAGCTCTTTTCAGCGTGTGGAAAATCTCCTGATTTTTTGGTTGATTATTGCACATCTTTATTTAGTACTTTTATTTATTTAATTCCCACCACAGCAAACTTGTAGACGCGGACGTGGAAGTGGACACCGTAACTGGTTTTCAGGGTCGTTCAAAAGAAATCATTATTTTATCTTGCACAGGGAGTAGCACTGAGAAAAATGGGTAAGTATGCATACTAACCTATACAACTTCATTCATCAATATGTTAGCTTACGGAAATTATTATCTTTTACTTGCAACACAGGTTCTTACGCTCTTATTCAGAAGCTATGATCATTGTTTTTATCAATCTATCTTTTCTGCTGTATAGCATTATATTATGATTCTTCATATTAATTGATTGAATAAGAATAAATATAACATCATGCTAAGGTTTTTGTCTTATACAGAATTATTTCAGTATAAAGCTGACTAAATGCTGCCAAAATCAAAGTAATTTAATAATTTTTAAAGGGTTATAGAGTGGCCAGTACTGACATTGGACATAGATCAGACTTTTTAGAGCTTTACATTACTCTACAGAGCAGGGAGTTTTGCTCCATGTACACCAGAGGACATCTTTTCATTTACATATACATAATTTATGAAATTAATCCTATGCTTTAAATTTAGACTAACACTAGATTAAAGAAATGAATTACACGTTTATTTTGTCTATCTTTCAAAATAATGAAAATTTTTAAACAACGCGTCTCTTCATCGACTATAACAGTAGCGTTGATACCTGAAATGTTATATGAACATCTACTCAAGATCTTCTAAACCATACAAAACACAGTGTGTTCGCATCTATCGGTATTTACATGCTATAAAATTCTGCTAGATTTAAGTATCGAACCTTCAGAGGTGGTAGGCTGTGCGTTGTTGTTGTCCTTTGTTATATGTTATTGTTTTATCATTTTGAGAAATTTGGTGTAAATGGCAGCTCTTTGTTAAATTTATTCACAACATATTTAGACTCGGGACGATTTAGAGCTTGGCATATAGGGTGAATACCAATACGACAGCATTCAAATAATACCATAAACTAAAGGACACCTATAGGTCAACATATTTTCTACTGCCATAGACAAGTGTCTATACCAAATGTGAAGTCCTAAATCGCCCAAGGTAGACAAGTTGTTAAAGAAATCATCACTATTGTCTACCAAAGTTATGTCACCAATACCAACAGAGAGCTCAAAATTAAATAACGACAACCACTTAAGATATGCTAGGGGGTATGTACATGAAAATTTGGGTGAGGTTTATAGTTTTAGGAGTAATCATTTCTCACTTTTTGTCAAAATGTTGACAAAAATAAAGATTTGACATTGAAATAAAAAAAAAAAACTGAAAAATCAAGGGCATTTTTTTTTTTTTTTATTTATTTATATTATCTCTACTTTTGATATTAATTCAGAATATTTTATAAATAGATTTCTGACTTGTCACAAGGAATTGAATGTTGCTTTAACAAGAGCTAGGAGTGCATTGTACATTGTTGGAAATCTTGATACGCTATCTGAGGTAAATATTTATACGACATTTGTGAATTTGTGATTGTGCATCACGTTTACACTTTAAAATATTATGAAATTTTACCGGTAGAATATTGTTAGCAAGTCGCCTCCAGTGTAAATATTTGGGAGTTCTATCCACGTCTGGGTGACTCTTTTTGTATGAGACACAAAATCATATGTCTGGACTGTAGATTCTTGGAAAGTCGGTACTGTATATTTGCACGCTTTCGTCCCAAATATGAAAAAAATAGTTGCAACTGAGAGTGTAGAAACCACTCATTTATCAGTCATTCATTGTTGGGTCTTCCATCGAACTGATATATGGTTATCAGTAATTTTACTAACACAATACAAGCAAAATTCACTGATATGATCCAAACTTCTATTCCCGTTTGTAAATAAGTTGCTCAGGAAATTCAGTTCGTTGAATAATGTGGTATTGATTGATCTTTTTCATAGTATCCTTACTGGCTATAGATGTATTTACTCAATGTCATCTATCAGACATTATTACCATACATATCATATAACTTGCTACATAGGCCTTCGGAATTGCATAACAAGTGATGCGTGCAAAGTTTGAGATACATACATGCTGATGGATATTAAGTAATCGATGTGTAACATCCCCCAGCAGTAATAATTTCAGCATAGACCATGAGTTATTACGTACAAAGGAAAATTCTATGCTTTTTACAACTGATATACTTATTAAAACTAGGGTTGCAACTCTCTTTTGCAAGTCTGCAAGATTGCCATTAGATAGTTCTATATGTTGAATCATTATTAGAATTTTTGTGGTTTCAGGAAAACGAGGCATTGCAGAAATTGGTAGCAGATGCCAAAGACAGAAAAGTTTTACGGATAGTAAAAGAAGACTATGTTTCGAAGGATATTTTTCGTGCATGCCTATCTGCAAAAGCCAGACTAGGACGATGACTTTATTTCATAAACTTACCTAACAACAAAATTATTTTCATTTACCTGTGTTTAAAGTAATTGCAAATGGCTGATATTTTTGTTCAAGCATATTGTTTTTCTTAAATTGTTTAACATTTCACAGCGGTATAACATGTTACTTTAATTATTCTTCCCTAGCTTAGTTTATTTATTTTGTATTTACATTGTATCATAGATCAAATTTATTTGTTCAGTGTATGTTCACTGGTGGTAATATTTCTTTTGATTGAGTTAAGCCATTTCAATTGAGTTGTCTCATTGGCACTCATACCACATCTTCTTATATCTATTTAACTACTGTATACTATATTTCAAATATGTGCCACTAAACAGAAGCATTTCCTCCAAAAAAAAATTAGAAATTTAACACATTTCAAAGTTATACCCCTTTTTATATGAATTCGCTTTTTCATTCCATTCAAAATTGAAATGAGTACTTGTGGTATATTACAACATCTTATAACATTTCACAGTATGTTGCCACTGAAACAAAATCATGACCTCTCAGTTACTACAGGCGGGTGATCTGTGATTCCATCTCTCGTTATTATTGTTTGTTTGTTTTCTGTTGTCTGTAAACTTGTTTTGTGGTATAAATGCTTTTTTATGGAGTGATCTTCATCCTATTTTTCATATTACTGTAGCTTTTGTTATTCTACAGCGACGCAAAGAGACCTGTTTTATATGATCTCTTTATATGTTATATCAATCTTATTCAATGAAGTTCTATGTAAATAATTGTTGGAAGAACCTTCATTTGATATCATCTTTTATATAGTGTACATAGTGTAAAGTTTGTACTACTTTCTGATTCGACATGATTTCTACTTTAGTAAGTAAAACAATCCCAATAGCAATTTGGTTTTTTTTTCATTATGCATTTTTATTTGTGACTTGATTCCTCATCGGGTTGTTTTAAGCCAATCGTGTGTTGTTGGTTGAAGAAGAGGGGCAAAATATCATTATACATTATGGGTTTTGAACATTGATGAAGGCCATACGGTGACATAAAGTTGCCTATATGAAGGTGTTTTGTTCTCTGGTGGAGAGTCGTCGAATTGACAATCATACCACATCTTCTAATTTTTATTTACATAATGAAATCTCAAATTATTTTTAAGATATAGAAATGTACCTGCAAAAATCTTTTGAGTTTGCAAGTCCCAATGTCTTTTGATTGAGTGCTTACATTGGTATACTATAGGGTTCTGCTCTTTCTTCTCCCTTTTATTCACATGTAACCACTCCCTTATTAGAAGTTCCTGGAACCACTACTGATTAAGCTTAGCGAACCAAAAAAGGGGCTTATGTGAGATACAATAAGAACAATCAAATTAGATCACTTCAACAATTGCTGCTATCAAACATTGTATAAACAAGAATCTTACATTTAATGATAATATCATGGCACGATTAATAAAAGGACTGACACACACCACATACTGTATACACAAGGAGAAAGGGTCACACGTCATGAGCCTGTATTACAGTGGTTGTCGTTTGTTGAGCACCGATTTGCAGAGACTGCACAACATTGAATTATAGAAGTCATGTTGTCATTAAAACAGTGTTTTGGGGATAAGTTTAAGTTCCACAACGATATTAAAAGGTTATGAATAAAAAATGAGTGTACAAACATAGATAGACAGAATACACAGAAAAACGCTTCGGAAGTATAAGACTTAAATATCGGAAGAACTATATGACCAAAAAAGGACATAAAAAGAGTAGCAAAATTCATTGAAGGTCAACTTTACCCGAGGTAGTTGAATCCTTTAGTTTCTTAATTATTTGTTAATTCATCAATAGAGAACTTAAGAGAAAAAAAAACATGTTAAAAATCAAGTCAGCACCGTAGCACTGGCTACTGGGCTGGTGTAGAAATTAACGTTTAGTTGACATTATATGAACTGCACCATTGCTTCCGTTTATTGTCACTGTTTCAACGATGCATACCAGATTAGGACACCTATTAGTATATCATCAAAGTACCAGTTCGCTAGACTTCTCAGTGGCGTTCGAATCAAAACAGTGTGAAGGCCAAATGAAGTACGAGGTTGAAGTGCATTTAAAACCAAAAATTCCAAAAGGTTTTACCGAATACGGCTATTCTTGTCTGGGGCAGAAAGTCCTCAGTGTTTGGAATAATTCGTCATTTTAAAAACAGTCATACATTGTATTAAATTGGGGTTAATTGTAACCTCATACTTGCAATATTCAAATATTTCAACATATGCAACTTTTTAATGGTTTTAATCAGAGACATATATATGTCTCTGTTTTAATGCACAAGGTTAGACAACATCTATAATAAACAAGGATTTAGTTAATTGATTGATTGGTGTTTAACGCCACTTTCAGCACTATTGTGCTATTTCGTGGCGGTCAGTTTTATTGGTGGAGGAAGCCGGAGTGCCCAGAGAGAACCATCGATCTTCGGTAGGAAAAAGGATTTAGTTTTAACATGTACCTGTAAAATGAGCATCAAAGTACTTTGAACACAGCGGAAATTATCGTTTTAGTAATTAACAAACAGTAGGATCTCTTTGACCTTGAGCACCTGTTTAAAGATTCGTCAATATAATACTTCAATGATAGGAAATACTTATAAAAATATTTCGTATTATTGAAATCTGAATACCGTAAAAATCCCGCGAACTTGTTAGTGTCGCTTGTTATACATATGGAATTATACACCGTGACATCCGTACAGCAAGATGTAAGAATTTGAATCGCGTTTATTTTTGTTGCTTAACGTAAATTGGAACATAATTACCTTGTCAAACTTAATAATTTAAGATTGGTATCTCCCCCTTTCTTCTAAGTACTGTATACGGAAGCCGTAGAAATCAGTCAAGTGCAGAAAAGGTTATCACGAAACAGTCATATGCGATCATATGCGGCACATGTAAGCTTGACTAATTATAGGTGGAAAACTATGGTTAACATAGTACATGTATCTCCATTCAGAAAATGATATATATAGAACTTTTATTCTTTTCGAGGTATAAAAAATTAAAGATTCGGAAAATAAAAGTACAAATATATGGAATACACGTAAAAATCGCAGAGAAAAACTTCAGTAATTTAGATTTAAATCATTTATTTCTTAAAATCCTGTCCTACAAATTCTCTTTTAAATTGATGATATATACTAGGAGAATAAAGTAATCTTGTCTTTATCTCGCGTCTAAAGCCCTAGGGCGTTCACATGCACACGTTTGCACGTCCATGCTTAGATATACATGTATGTAGACATACATATTTAAAGGTGTAAAACTTGCATGTGAACGCATGCAAATTATGCATTGACTTAATTTGCATGATCGAACCCCTTGCAAAACTGTAACATATATGCAAACTTACGTGTTTTTTGTACATATGTACGCAAAATAATATAAGAATACTACGTTGTTTTATACCCCAAGCTACGAAGAAGTGGTAAATATCTTTCCATCCGTCTATCCGTCCGTCCATTCGTCCGTAAGTCACCTTAGTTTCCGGATACTTAATCAAATACTTTAATATCGTATTGCAACCTGCCTTTGATCTATGGTCACAAATGAGAGGAAGACGTCTGAGTCTGAGGTCATGTTAACTAAATATATCGAAAGTAATGCAGGAAGGAGTTCCGGACTGTTTCTCTGGAACCTTACACGGTGTTTGAAACCAAATTTTAAAAGATAAAAGGACAATTCCCTATCCATTTTGAGGGTACAATGCCCGCAGGAAAGGTCATAGTAATACCCCAATCACACTAGGACCACGATCCCGCTACGACCTCAGAAATTATGAAAAATTTTGGAAGTCGTAGTAAGATCGTGGTGGTCGTAGTAAGGACGTGCCAAGGTCTTCATCCAACTTTGAACATGGTCAAAACATTCGTAGTGCAGTCGTGGCCAAAACTAGTCGTAATAGAAGGTTGTAGTAAGGACGTAGAAGCATCGTATTGGGAAACGTGGTGCAATCAGGAAGCCAATGGAAAAGATTTTGCTGTGACCTTACTACGATTTCACTGCGACGATCCCGATTTCACTACGTCTTTATTACTCTTCTACTACGATATTGATACGATTATACTACGATGAGGAAGACAATAGTGCGCTGCTACTACGCGCTTTGTCGTCCTTATTACGACCTTACTACGATACCTCTACGTCCTAGCCACGATGATTGCACGATCTCATTCTGATGATATAAAAAAACGGATGACATAACTTCTACTTAACCTATAGCTGTACTATGTAACCTATTGGAATGCAACAAGAGTATAAATCTCAATAACCGAAAATTATACCATAGCTATCTATGGTATAATTTTCACAATTATACCATGGTTTTGTTGTATTTGGTATTCGAAAAGAAAAAAAGAAAGATAGCAAGGCCTATCCGAGGCCGCCTGAATTTTTTGAAATAGGAACAACAGAGTCAGTGTGGGGCCACTAAGCTAAACTGCCCGCTTTGCACCAGCCGATATAAATGAATGCCTAGGGTGGGAATCGAACCCACATACACCAACTCCGTTGTCCTATATTTTTAAATGAATGAAAATTTGATTCAAGAACAAATTTAAAAAAAAAAGTATATATAAATATATTATACTTGAAAATATAATTCGATTTTCGGTTATTGAGATGTATACTTGGATTGTAGTCCCTTCGGCTCAACTGTATAGCTACATGTAAAGGTTGAAATTTGCCGTGGTGGCTTTTTTAAGGGGGAGGGAGGGAGAAGCCATGCCCCTTTAAAGAAGCTTTATATATGGTAAATGCATAGATAATTCGTTTTATTACTCCAAATGTTGGATGGCTATACCCCCCCCCCCTCCTCTCCTTTTCAAAATCCTGGATCCGTATCCGATTTTATATACATCTTAATTTAACGATTTGCTTAAGTAATAACTATAATGTTGGGCCGTTAAGAATAGAAAGCGTCTGGTTACTCTAAATAAAGGTGAACTTTTTGTTTAAATTATCTATAGTCTACATGTGATTTTTAATGATCTTTAATCGTGATCATTTTGAAATCCTTTTAATTAAATTAAATTAAATGTATAACTTGGGCTTCTGGTACAAATTAAAACATGGAATGATTCATCCAAACTCTCAGAAAAATTCTTGTGAATTAAATTTCCACAGAATTATAAATTAATATCAAAAACTTAAAAACATTTAAAATATTTTGATAAAATAAAAAAAAACTAACCCTTTGCAGTTCAACTTTAAATCTCGGTTCCAGAAATCTTTCAAACTATATCTTGCGTCCATATGGCGCTGAGAACATATAATTCCTTCAACAGTTTTTAGTCGGTAACGTTACCCGTCACCAATGTAGATATGCATCCATCGCTGTCGAAAAATCCTGTCCAACTGATTTTCCCGCTGTTTCAGAAGTCCGTGCGTATTTTAGAAAGTAGGCGGAGCTTAATGTGTAAGGTCCTAAAAGGGTAATTTGACCGATTCTTATCAAGATTATTTTTAAAGTTAATAAACAAAAATATACGAAATACACATTTTTAAACAACAACATATGCAATAGGTTAAAACAGATATTTCATATATTTTGGTTAGTTTTGTGGTGTTTCGTAAATTATACCATAGTTTTTTGTTGAAACCCCTCGGCAACCTCACTCGACTTCGTCTCGTGAGGTTATTGCCGGGGGTTTCAACAAAAACTATGGTATAATTTACGAAACACCACAAAACTATTCAAAAGATATGAAATATCTATAACCTGTAGTTCAACATATTCAACCATGGACACACATGAGCAAAACCTACTTCTGCAATCTTTAATTCATCTGCACTGTATCGATTTGGCTGATCAGGCTACACTTTTAGTTATAAGAAGAAGGAGA